GACGACAAATCCCGGGTGGGTGAAGTAGTAGGTATGGTCGGGGGAAGGGAAATCAGAACACCGGGGATCGCTAGTGGTGGCGCAGTGGAATTCCCACGGACACAGTCGATTCTCCGTGTGGCAGGGGTATCGCAGCCTTAGGAGTTCGTTTATCCAAGGGGTGAAGTAATCCGGGTCGTAGGATGAGTTTGAGCTCCAAGATCGCGTCATGGTATCATCGTGTATGGGACAACTCTGGTCGGGATATCGTCACCGCGCGCGAGCACGTGTAGGACGGACGAACTTAGTTGCGCCTCCGCGTGCTCGTGCGGGATGATGGTTTCGCCACGAATCTTTTTGGGTGGGCGGATCGACGCACGGGGATGCGTGTAAACGCGCGATTCGGATCGTGTTTACAAGCGTCTTCGCGCGGCATTCGCAGGACCCGACATCGGATTGTCTAATGGCTCCGTAGGTTCGGTTATGCGAGATGCAACCACACCATAACCCAAGCAACAACGAGAACAAAAATCGCTATCGGGGCCAAGTTCTTATCCTCTCTACAGCTGTATCCGGTGTAGGCGATGATTCGTCACAAACAAAAGCAAGGACCAGGATTTTCAGCAAGAGATAGACAAGCAGGCATAGCATCCATACATCCAGTAATCATACACATAATGCAATCGAGACGCAAATCGCAAAGACAAGTGTGAGCAAAAACCCAAGTCCAGATTCCAAAAAGCCAAGACGAAAAACAGGAACGGGCAACCGCCCGGAGCCGCAATCAAAATGTATGTACACAGATGAAGAGGGGGAAGAGACAAAGAAACAGCAAACCCGCGTCCATCGACCTCAACTCTCTCTCCTCCTCTTCTTTCTCTTCTCCGATGCGGACAGTCCGTCGTCACGCACCAACCCACGAAGTCGCTACCCCGCTTAGTCCTCCCGCACCCGACAGATTCGCCCGTGCCCACAGTCTGTCATGGCCCACATCAATCCCACGCGTTCGGCACCAGCCCGTCGGGTCGCCCAACTCTTACTCTACTCACCTCTTACTTCGCTCGTGTGCCGACCCTTCCTGATCGCGCAACCCCGAGCTTACAACAACGGGTTAAGAGAGCTAACTAATCGCGCAACCGTATTTTATAGCGTGCATGCATGCGCGAAGAACACGGAATTACCAAGACTTAGAACGGGGATTAGAGAGGGAGTGCCTGCGTTCTGCATAATCAGGCCGCGGCATGGGGGACGTAGCCCTTCTCCACGCATCGATCCGAGCATGCAAGCCGCTGCTTACAAAAATCATAGCAAAAGAAAGAGAGGGAGGGCGGGAGAGACGAAGTGCAAGAAGAAAGATACAGTTACGATGGCGCCCGCCCAAAATTACAGTTACACATGCGATTAAGGGCGCCCACTAATCCGAATACCGTTGCAGCCGCATGAAGAAGCGCGTAGACAAAAGGCGCCGCGTGGCAGAAAAATTCTAATTACTGAAATCCTAAATTCCTATCTAATGCGAAAAAGCAAAAAGCACGAACTTCAGGGGGAAACTCCGAAATTCCGAGAGCTATCAGGGCTCGACAAAATCCAAAAAGAGACTCAAAAGAAAATTTTAAAAAGAGCGAAGCAAATTCCCACGCGATGTCCGCGCCCAAAAGACCGAAATCGAAACGGAAGAAACGACGTCAACATTTATTAGTCGCACGAGCGGTGGCGCGCCGGCCATCAGCCGACCGATCAATCAACCGGCCGTCCCCGGATACACCTAGCTCCGAACCCAGCCATATGAAAAAAAGCGACGAAAAGGACGAAAAAGCAAGGGCACTGATGCAATTTTCCACCAATCCCGATCTCCCGTAATTGGCCCAACCTTCCCAGCTTAGGACCCCTCATTGCAACCGCGCAGAAAATCGCACGTTACAGAAAGTGGTTCGTCACATATGTGACGCCCAGGGGGTTCCAATATTAGCAAGCTCCTGCTTGCTTGTTGACACGTGTCGATTTCTCTAATCGATCGACACGAGGAACACTTCTCTCTATGCCACTTACCGTTCAATTGCGTGTGGACGTTGTCCAACGTGGCAACATTGCTCTTCTACTAATTCCTCAGATTGGGCTCTCGACGATCCAAGGACATGATCTTTCTTGTGTCGTCGCCGCAACACGCGTCCATTACCCCTGCATCAGTAATTAACCGGGAGGGGGAAAGGAAGGCGATACTTGTATTAGGGAGGGCGAGGCGGCTCCATCGTAAGTTCGGGTATGAAGCGCCCGATCGCGGTGAGGTCGTGGGGAAGATATGAAAGCGGACGATGCGATGGAAGCGGGGGAATCCCTGTCCACTGCGGGGAAGGGAAGCGAGGTAGTCTGGGTAAAGGGAGACGAGGGTTCGGAGGACGTCGGTGCGAAACCGATCATGGTCTACGCACGCGGGGAATGTCCCCGTGACGATGCAGTAAACTTCTCTGTGGTGACGGCCTCGCTACTCGGCGCTAAGGAGTAGAACGTAGAGGGGGTAATCAGGGACGGCACACCGAATAGAAGGGTGGGGATGGACAGTCTGCTCTAGGCGGGCGGAGTAGAAATGTGGAAAGGTGGCGATGGGGAAGGGATTACGGGGGAAGACGACGCGATGAAGATACTGATTGAAAGAGAGATGGCTAAGCGGACGCTGGTATATGGATCGGGGACGAAGGACGAAGCCCCTCATCGACACTTTGACGAATTGGGGGACGGGCGGGGGCGGAGGGGGATGAGGATCGGGATCGGGGTCGGCGCCTTGTGGTCGCGGCGCTCGAGGTCGTGGCAACAAGGTCCCCATGTTCCGGCTTGGGCGGCTTGGGATCCTTGGAAGGATCGTTCGGTGTGGGGTCGATCACTGACCGTTTTCCCTCCTCGACCTCCTTCTTGTGCTGCGCAGCGGCCTCAGGATCCTCCTCTCGACGATCCGGTTTTGGCACCCACTCGAGTTCGTCGTCGTACACTGGCTCTCGATCGTCTTCTCCGCTTTCCACTCCCTCGTCGTCGTCTTCGTCTTCCTCTTCCTCACTTTGCTCGCTATAGGCTTCCTCTTCTTCTTCTTCGTCCTCGGCTTCTGCCGCTTCTTCTTCTGCTTCGCGTTCCTCCTCCTCGTCCTCGGCCAACCGGGCCGCTGCTTCTCCGGCCGCTCTCCTTAATTCTCCTTCCGATTCTTCTTCTGCTTCTTCCTCTGATCTCAGTGTTGCCCACTCGAACGCCGTTGGTTGCCGAAAGAAGCGGGGGGGGTAGTTAGGCTGTGGACGTCCAGGTACTCGCTACGAGATGGGAAACGGTCGTCCGCCCAGCGCTCCTCGATACAAGCCGACCACTGGAGGCTCGGGGCGAGAGTCCTTAAGAGGACATGCGGCACGGGCTCTTTGTCGCTCTGAGAGACGATATCGAGGGGGAGCTCGTCGGCTAGTCGCGCGATCACGATCGTAAGTTCGCGCACGATCTGTGATCGGTATCCCTGATCCACAGCTCCAAAGACGAATCCCATAAGATCGTAGCAGGCAGAACGAGAGCTCAACGAATTCTGCACGCCACAGCCTCCAACGATCCGGATCAACGATGGGTACTGCCAGCGGCTCCAGGCAGAAAGAGAGACGGGGGTAGTGAGAGGACTGCCAAAAGATGGGGAAGAGCGAGGGAGGGGAAAACTTCGAGATCGGCGCGTGGCTCATCTGCGCGGCTGGAAGGGGGCAAGCTCAGGGAGGACGACAGGTGGCTCGCGCAGCGTGTTGACCTCGATGTCGTCGACAGGATAGCACTCGTCATTGTGCCTTGTGAGCCGTCGATCCCAATCAGTGGCCAGATCACGACCCCACTTGTACAAGGTGCTCTTGATGGCAGCTTGCCTCGCCGGATCGAAGGCGGCGATGTCGCCGCTAAAGACTACCACGGTAGACACGTGGCTAATACCCGAGGCCGCTCGCCGTTGGAACGCCGTTGCCTCGACCAACACCACCACCTGGGGATTGCTCGTGAACCGGAACTCTGCCGCGCCGTACACACCCGAGGTGCAGAAGAACTGCGCAAGGCGCAGGAAGTCGGGGCTGATCCGCGGATGATGCACTTGGCGGATGGCTGAGATCTCTCCCCTTGGCACCAGCAACTGATCACCGAAAGCCCGCTCGGTGGCGAAGCTCATGGCGATGGCGGAGGTGACGAGGTGTCAGAGAAGGGGCAAGAGGAAGAGGGAGATGCCGGAGAGATAAGATCGTTATCGTCTGCTTCCTCTGAGGGGGAGGCCGATGAAGAGGGAGATGGAGTAGAGGGGAGGAGGCGAAGATAGGACACGTGGCGTGTGATCGGACGGGCCGATCGACTGCCAGAGACCTCGGGGGCGAGACGCACGGTGTCCACGTCGTTAGGGTTGAGCTCGATCACGCGATACCGCCCGAAGAATCGTGGCGCTAGCTTACCCTGGCGAGCACATTTCCTTACCTGCACTATGTCCCCCAATTTGTTTTGGGTCCGTGGACCCGCATTCCCATTTCGGGCCTCGTAGCTTCGGACCTGTCGGCCTTGGGCTAGTTCGGTAATTTTCTATCGTTTTCGGGCTAGCCTGGGCAGTGACCATTCCATTAGCTCTAGGTGTCGTTTGGCCTTGTCCCGAGCCGTGGCCCTAGTGGGTCGTCGGCTTAATGTAGACTCATCTGTGAGGCTTGGTATCGAAACGCAAGCAACGCTATTGGTCCTTAATTGGAAGGGGCTTAACCACGTCGATTCGTGGGGCGCTCCGGAGTGGACCGCCAGGATGTGATCGACGATATCGGACCAGGGCCTTGGATCCCGTGCCGCAATATTTCGTCGCAATGCTGTCTTTATCACCCGGTTAGCGTTATCGACCAGCCCATTGGATTGTGACATGTGGGGTGAAGTGTTCCGTATGGCGACGCCATGCAGGACCAGATTCCTTAGCACTTTCCCCCTGAATTCAACCCCGTTGTCGGTCAGGATCTCCTATGTATCCTGATGCATCCCGAGGAAATGGTTGACGTATCGGGCGATTTTAGCGGCTTGCCGCGTGCGGCAAGGGTAGGCCTCGATCCATTTCGAAAAATGGTCGACGAATACCAACAAGACTAAATACTCACAACTATTAGGACCAGGGGACACTACTATGTCGGTAGTATCCATGCTTACTCTTTGAAACGGTCGTTCAACTACCGTGGGCACTATCGACCTTAGGGGCTGAATCGGCGTTTTATCAGCGACGCAGACTTGACAGTTGACGACGATGTATTTCACATCGTCACGGATATTGGACCAATACCACTCATTTTTGTCGATAGCGGACTCCGTGATTCGTACGGCAAAATGAGCCGTAGTTTCCTCGTGCGCCGTCTTAACCCAGTCATACCGCATGAATGGATGCGGCACAACCATCCAAATCCCACTGCCGTCTGTTTTCCGTTTTTCTAATCTGCCCTCTATCCATCTGTAAACCCGGGCCCTCGCGTTGGCCCTCCTCCGATCTTCCTTGGTGAAATCCTGGAGGGGGTTGCCAACCAAGGTGGCAACCAAGGCAATATCAGTCCATACTTTGGCCCTTCTAAACTTCCGGGTCTTTTTCAACCCTTCTTACGTGGCATCCAAAAAGCGAGCCTCGGTCGGAATCTTGTCGGTCCGGCACAAGGGGCACAACCATGGTTTACTATCGTTTCTGTATTGGATGCACGAGTCGTGGGCTCGTGCAACACACTGTCGACAATCTATCCAATCAACATACCCTTTCCCGTTAGGACATATGGAGACCGAGTATACGTGGGAGATAGCTTCGCAAAAATAGCAAAATTTGTCAGGCAGGGAGAGGAGAGACGAGGAGGACAGGGGAGAGAGAGGGGTAGTGGGGTTACCTCCATCACCCATCGCCACCGTTTTACTTCTTGCCACGTGGGAGGACTGCCACTTGTCCGTACTTAGGCTCGTTGGTCAGGTCCGGCTCTTTCCACGCTGTAATTTCCTCGCCCTTTGGCAGGTCGATGCAGACGTGTCAGCCCGTCCTCGTTGCCGTGTCGCTCCGTCTTTCGATGGACGATATCGAAGTCGTATTCGTGCAGTCGCACCGCCCAACGGCCAATCATGCCCGAGTAGTTGGTGAGCTTCTTCAAAGCTAGCAGAGGCTCGTGATCCGTCACGAGGCGAAACTTATGTGCGTAGAGATACGGATGGAAGTGCTGGATTCCCCAGACCACTACATAGCATTCGCCTTGAGGTGCTGAGTCATTCCTCCATTCGTCCGGTACCGTGCGTGACACGTATTCGATGACGTGTTCACGACCATCGATCCCCTTCTGCGCTAAAATAGCGGAGATAGCTTCCGGTTGCCAGTCCGTGATGAGAATGAACCGTTTCGAGGGGTCCGGCCGAATCAAAATAGGGGCCATCGCCAGAGCGTCTTTGAGGGTTGCGAAAGCCTGTTGGCACTCCGCGTCCTAGCTGAGGGGCCGGTCCTTCCTTAACAGATTCGTTAATGGTCGTGCAATCGCGGCAAAGCCCTTGATAAAGCGCCGGTAGTACGATGCTAACCCCAAGAAAGCTCGAACCTGCGTCAGTGACGTGGGAACCGRGGCTTCTTTCACCGCCGCAACCTTTCTTGAGTTCGGCCGTAGTCCTCCACGTGTCACGACGTAGCCCAAGAACGAAATTTTCAAGAGGAAAAATTCGTTCTTCTCGAGCTCAATCTTGAACCCAGCATCTCTTAATGCGCCCAACGTTCATTCGATATGCTGCGCGTGCTCGTGATAGGTTTCCGAATAGACCAGGATATCGTCCATGTACACGATCACACATAAGTTAATCATCCCTTGCGTCAGTCGTGTCTTGTTGATGAAATTCTGGAACGTCATGTTCATCGCTCGCTGAAATGTGGCCGGTGCGTTGCAAATCCCCATCGGACACCGGACCCACTGCCACGTGTCTTCAAACAACACAAAGGTCGTTTTCGGCCGATCTTCCTCTTTAACCAGAATGTGATGAAAACCATGCCGAATATCAAACTTGCTGAAATAATTGGCACATCCAATCGCATCCAACAAATCATCAATCCGGGGGAGGGGATACACATCTTTAATTGTGATCTCATTCAGCTTGCGATAATCAATGCAAATGCGAATCGCTCCATTTTTCTTTGGTACTAATACTACGGAAAATGACCAAGGTCCGGTAGCGGGTTCAATCCAGCCGCTGGCCTCAAACTCCCGAATTCGTTCGAGAGCCTTTCTGCGTTCAATCAACGAATACCGGTAAGGTTTGCAATGAATCGGGGAGTGATTTCCTGTCCGAATCTCATGTTGGATTACTAACGATAAGCCGATGTCATTGTCTGTCACACTACTCGCTTCTTGATATTCCGTTAGAATATCCGCAATCACCTGGTGGATTTCATTCGGTACATATTGTGGAACATATAGCTCGAAAAGTTGGTCCCAGATCCGAACGTCAATCTGTTTCGTGCGCGCCTGTTTTGCCACATCGGGCGGAGGCGCCGAGATGAACGAATGGTCCAATCGCCAGGAGAACACCGTGGCCATCATCTGGGCATCTTCTTCCCGGATTGCCACGTGTCCTTCTGGGGTAATTCCGTCACGAATATCCTGCCATGGCACGTTCTTAGTTGCGATCTTTATCCCCAGTTCGTCTGTTTCTGCTTCAAGACGCCCAGGGGGTTCCAGAGAACTTGCTTCCGCCCCCAAGCGTAACAATCTCACTTCTTTAGCAGATGTCAATAAGGACTTGGGTAGATCCGTAATGTCACAATAATACTTCTTGTCGTTATACCAGGCGAGAAGAGAGGTGATTCCTTCGTACAGAGTCTGAGGGGGGTTTAACGAATCGACCATCCTCGAAATCTGCACGAGGGACTCACCCAAGATCATCGCCTTGGTCCTTTGAATTTTTTGGCTGGTCAGTTGCATCGTTCTCGCTATCGTTTTGGGCGGTGGGTAGTAAACGTGCTGTCGTGCTAATTTCAAGATCTCTGGATCATCCTCATCGCTGCTGCCCGCACCATTCATCGATGACTTTTCATCGGTGGACTCATCTCAGGGGATCATGCGGAGAGTCCTTGCCATCAACGGCGAAACTCGTGAGACCGTGTTAATGGTAGTACGAAGGGTTGATCGCATGGGCACAGCGTAGGGTTTTTCTCCTGTATTTTGCAAGATAATCGATCTTCGTTCGAAATCCAAGTTTGCTCGTAGAGCCACAAGAGCGGGAAGTCCAAAAAGAACGTTGTACGTATTAACGTCTAGTACTACGACATCTCCAAACGCGTGCACTTTTCCTAATCGAAAAGCGACATTGATCATTCTTCCCACGGTCTTGATCTTTTCTTCATCTGCAGAAACGAGCCGATCTTTCTCAGTGAGCATGATCTCCTACCAGCCCTTTCGACCACTCTCAGTGAAATAGCCAGCACAACTGCTCCCGAATCTATAATTGCGTTGTAAGGAATTCCCCAAATTTCAATATCCCATTCTGCGGATTTTCACGGAATTGGTTTAATCCGTAGGAAATGGTCGTCTTTCTGGATTAAACCTACCCGTATCGGATCCGAAGTGCCTGTTGGGTTTTCTTCGGGCGTGGGGCTTTTGGCTTTTACGTTCGGTGTTCGGACGAGGGCGAATCGCTTTCGGTTTGCTTTGCAATGCTGTAGCATCCGCTCATTAGCTTACTCAAAGATCAAGAGTAGATGACTGATCAGAAGTGGAATCCGATGGTCCAAGGCTCGGATGATGTTTAATACATCGATTTCTCCTGTGACGAAGGTGGGTCCTCCCGACTCCATTTCTCCTAGAGACGGTCGCCACTCCGCCACCTTTTTTGGTTCTGGCGCTGGTCTGATTGTTCCGATCATTCCAAGCCCAGGATAACCAAGGGATACGTATTGGTCTAGCGGGATTAGCTCGGCGGCTTCTTCCGTGGTGGCTAGGGCACTTCCCCCACCCTCTATTTCTTCCATCAAGGCTCCGACTCGTCCAGGTTCGTTAGCGATGGGGGCCGCAACCATGGGCACTGTCGGAGCTGATACCCTTACAAGGGTATCCGCTCATAATTTTGCAGTCGACACAATGCCGACACCAACTGTTAGAATAGAAACGGCTGAAAACAGAAACTGGGGTAAGCCCCTCGACAATTATGGTCATGAAAGTTAGAAACCGCAAAGGCCAAAACACGGCACACAAGGACAAGAGTCAGGGGTTGAAAATTTTGAATGATCGCAGAGCATGCAAAGATGACAGAGGTTAGCAGATGAAATGACCACGCACGTCATTCCGGCGCGCACGGAGACTGCAAAATGGTTAGTAAGTAAGACCTCCAACCACTAAGGACGGAGGGTTAGTTAAAACGAA